AGCAAGTCGGCCAGTGATGTGGTTTGGCCTTCTATAGTCGAGATATCTCCCATAAAACGGCAGGGGTTCGACCCCTGGCCGTTGATGGCGAGGTGGACCCCTAACAGCATGTTCCGCAAAAGAGCGAGACGAAATTCTCAGTGTGACAACAGGATGTAACTGTTCAGACCAAGGAGATGGAAAAATAGCTTATTTGTCCATTTCCAGGTTCGACAACAGATGCTATAACTGTTTGGCACAGTTTGCCCACAGCTCCACCTGAATAATTATTCACACTCCTCGTGCCACGCTGGTGTGGTGGTCCCCAGGTTGCCGACGAATAGCTAGACAGAACACTTCCAGTTACGAACCAAGCACTCAGTGTAATGAAACTGTATAAAGAAATGTAATCTTAGTGTGCAGCCGAGCCATTCGCCCACTCTTCATTCCACAAGAATTACGTCATGGTACGATCACACTTTGAAATTACGCTCGACTGAACGCTTCCAGCCACGAAGCTATTACGGTGTGTGTTCATACAGTAACACGATTTCATAAAACAAACGCTAGCCTTCAACTCTACAAGAACAGTACACGTATTGTTTAGAAGAACTCTATATGCAACAACACGTGACTTTATATCATTCGTCCACCGTCCACATTCTAGTAGTAGCCAACGATAAACTCTAGACTCAACATCCGGTGTTACCGTGACTTGCACAAGTGTCGTCATCAGCAACTTGCATTCAGGGGTATCCAGAACGTATGAATTCTTGCACAGAAACAAGAAACTGGGAAAATTCTTCTTTGGAGTCAGTGCAAAAATTTTAACATGTTTTATACAATCTGTAAATTACAATATCTGATTCTATATTCTTTAGAGAAAAAAACAGCGTTTATTTCGTTCGTTTATCACAGAAATTGCAGAAATAGGAGCAAATTTAGTAAGTGACTACAGTTTTTACGGATTTCTAATCGCGGGTATTTAAATATATTCCGTACGGCTGCCTTTACTGGAATTTAAATGCCCGTAGGATAAGCGTTAATTAAATACAGTGACAACTTCATCTTTTCTTACCTCACCTTACCTTACCTTACCTCACCTCACTTGACTTTACTTATCTTAATAGAATATTATTCAAGTGATTATATGTTTATTTCACAAAGCTGTATAAACTGCTTGGCTTTCATCAAAATAAGCAAGATATTGTAAAGTAGTGATGAACTAGGAGGGAACACTAATTTTCATGAAAACCCACTGTCAGGATAGTTACTAGTCCCCATTTGAGATGTTAGATGGATGTCTCCTCAGTGTGAGTTAGATGCACTGCCTTTGTGCCCACCGGCCCAGTGCCTACTTATTTTTTTTTATGGTGATGTTCCAGAAATATAATTCTAGCTTTTAAATAAGTCTGGAATCCTAACAAATTAATATAGTTTGCAGTTTCCTAGATTTGAATTGTATGAAGAATTAAATGCATGAAATGTTGCAAAACTCCTATCAAACAGAATTCAGGAATGAGTAAAGACATATCACAGATACAGTATCACTCGTATTTCCATTTCTGCATCTCTGACAACCATCATAAATAACCTGGCAGCAATGAGCTCAATCCTTTACCACTTGTGACAGAATTTCATCCATATGAGTATCAATTTACAGTGCTTTGTGAACTTTGCCACTTTCATTTGTGTGAAATGTTTAACTATTACTTTAAAAACTTAGGTTTAGTGATAACTGACCTGCATCCTGTATGATGTGACATACCAGTCTTCAGAGTGCTCCCACCGGATCAGTGGGGAGATCATTGGTGTTCCTCTACTCACAGGGTATTGTACTGTTGGATACAAGTTTGCCAGCTGTGGCTGTAAACCCAGCTCATATAGCCTGCAACAATTATAGCTCTGCTACAATGAGATAAAGATGTAAAACTCATTCAGACTTCAATGAGAGACCTTAGACATAATTAAACAAAAAGGAGTAGATTTTCCAGAATAATTATGCTATGTGTACACTTCATAAATTCCTGTGTATTAATTCCTAACAGTACGAATTCCAGCTACATTAAATTTGCCAGATATAACCTCAAAGATTTCATTGTACCCATGTTTATAAATGTTAATAAACAAAACGTTCTAAACAGAATTTGTAGGTGCAGTTATGTTCCCCTTCTATGTAAAATATCACATGATTGGCTCCAATGATACATTAGCTATCATCATCAAAGAGAAAACTAAATACAAATTCAACACATTGTTGCACATTTTTACAACTAACAACTTTAATAATGGTTTGATATTTATCAAAGATTTATTGTCTCATAAAATTTCAGGACCCTACAGTAAGTGATGATGGTGCCACTACCACTTCAGGAGTTTGCAGTGATGCGATGTGGGTTCTTCCTGTAACATGAGAGACCACTCCACACTACATAATCTGAGCTACTGAAAGAATTGTTAAAGAAACCATATAAAATTAAATAAATAAGTTTATGCAAACTAGGAGAACACAGAGTTCCAAATGAAATTAAAACACTGCACAAAATTCTTTGTTAAGAGAATCGCGGGCTCTCTAAAAAACTAGTGATAGCTGATGTATGACAGATGCTCTTTCTAATACTTACCAAACACAAAAGATATGATCAGATCTTAATTATGGCAGTTATAAATAGGTAAGGTAAAAGGTAAAACTATCCCGTAACAGGCCATGGAGGCCCACAGGGCTGTGAGACATGGAGGCTCCCACATTTTCTAGACCACTGGGTCACAGATGGCAGTGAGGTTGTCAGCCTTATGTGCTGGCCAGCTTTCATGTCCAAGAAGATTCCTGGCACTCGTTTCTATTAGAGGTGCCTGAAAGGATTACTTACTTACTTACTTACTTACTTACTCACTCATGGAGCTGAACCCTTCTGGAGGAGCTGGCAATTCTGCAGCTACTCAAGAATTTCACAGCATTTTATGGAACCCGAAGGTTCATTAGTATGTTCACAAGAGCCCTCCGCTGGTCCCTATCCTGAGCCAGATCAATCCAATCCATCCCATCCCATGCCATCCTGTCTCTCTAAGATCCATTTTAATATTGTACAACATCTAAGCCTTGGTCTTCCAAGTGGTCTCTTTCCTTCTGGCTTTCCCACCAATATCCTATATGCATTCCTTGTCTACCCCATTCATGCTACATGCCCTGCCCACCTCATCCTCCTTGACTTGATCATCTAATTATATTTGGAGAAGAGTACAAGTTATGAAGCTCTTCATTATCCACTTTTCTCCAACCTCCTGTCACTTCATCCCCTTTTGGTCCAAATATTCTCCTCAACGCCCTGTTCTCAAACACTCTCAGTCTGTGTTCCTCCCTTAATGTCAGAGACCAAGTTTCACACCCATACAGAACCACTGTTTAACCTAGGTCGTTTATCCAGAGGATCCGTCCAGGTCTTAGGCTTTATAGTCAATTGAAAAATCCAATGACCTCATCAGGAATCAAACATATGACCTTCTGGCTTGCAGCACAGTGCCTCAGCCAACTGCACTACCACATACCCCAGGGTACGCACCTGCCCAGAGCAGTGAGGAGCAGTTCACTGCAGTCAGAGTGGCCTCTCTGTGTGAGGGCAATGTTTGTGGTGGCCTTGTTGAGGGACCGGTGGAGGATGGCCTGCAGGAGTCCATGTGGAGCAATCTCTATGGTGATGGCGTTGGCTGGGATATGTTTTGAAGCTTCCTCAAAGAGAACTGTACTTAGCAGGTTATTGGTGTGATACTCAGCCGAAGAGTGCGTTGCCAGTGGTGTGTTCCACAAACTCTGTGGCACTGAAGAGCTCACCCAGCGGGCAGACCTGGGCTTTGGATTGGGGATTAGCTGCACAGTCACGAGCAAAACTGAGATCAGTACACCTTAATGCACAAAATAACACGGCAACTGCATAACAGCTCACTGACAAATATATCCTGCATGAACTGCTTCTACAGTTTATTCACTCCTTTCTAGTGTAATTTCCCTCCCCTTCAAAATTTTGAAGACTGAGAAAAACAACCCCTTCTGAATGTCAGTCTGACCCAGAAATTCCTGTACTAAGAGGAGAATAATCTATTCAGTCAGTTCCTGTTCCATGTCTAAACAAAGAGAAACAAAAATGAAAAACCAAAAATGAGAAGGTAAATTAATAAATCAAAGATATAAACAAAACAAATAAAACTTTGGAATTGTGAGATAAATGAATTGGATCAAAGAGGGCTCAACAGGGGGCAAGCAAGATGATGATGATTATGATGATGATGATAGTGGTGGTGGTGTTGGTGATGATGATGATGATGATGATTACAAGGATGAAGAAGAGAACAAATCATTGATTTGTAAAGACATGTCATGACTTACCTCCCTGAGGTATTTGAGCAGGGCTGGTCCTGCCGATGCTATGTATTTGCTGTGGTATGCGATGTTTGCACAGTTCACCTCCTTGGCAAACACCCCATGCTGCTGCTGCAGCATCTTCACAAAATTCTTCATAGAGTCTGTTGGTCCTGACAGCGTACAGAAGTTTGGTCCATTGTGGCATGCAACTTCAATGTCTGGAGGACACAACTGCTTAGCCTCTTGAGCCCCTAGAGCTGCAACATTACAACCTTTGTTTAACAGAATGTATACTATACAGGAATGAATTATAGGACCAGACGAGATTTTGAACATTGTTCCTATTGTTTTTAGCTCTACTGGAAGAAAGGCAGAATTGTGCTTTAAAGTATACCAGGACTATATTTCTGCCACCATACTGAACCAACATTTACAGTAATGTGGAAAACAGAAATGTGAGACAGACAACTAGAGACACAAACACTTTCTTGAAGAGTTCTGTCTTCTGGGATATAATGCAATGTAGTTCAATGAAAGTCAACAAGACTACATGGCAGTGTATATCAGAAGCTACTGCTGTGAGTACCTTAAAGTCAACAAACTGTCTCTAATCACTGAAAAAGCATTTATTGACTAGATTACAGTCAATTTTGCAAACTAAACAATATCCAATTTTGTTTTGCCGTATCAACACCAGTCCATTCCTTGGTATCTAATGAGATCTTTCTCATTCTCCTTCTTGGTATTCAATAGAATGACTGAATATGTACTTTAGACAGGTGGTGGCCATTTCTTATCTACCTTTACTGAATCACTATATTCACTGCACTACCATTCCATCTGATGCTATGAAACTTTACAGCTGATATAACATTTTTATATAATCTATAGATTAAATACAGCAAAACCACTATTTATGGTTTATTTTTAGAGTAGCTGATTTGAAAATGAAGGAAAAACTTAAATAGAAGTAATTTAAGTTTGAGATTATTGAATTGGAACCATGAAATTGGATGTTAAATATGAGAAAACTTTAACTAAATAAATATGAATTAAGAATTCCACCATAGAAGTTAATTCACATTGTTCAAGACTACTCACCATTTTAAATTCTTGTAACCTTTTGGTTGCATCACTTTTGATAAAGCCCTTTACATGTCTGCCAATCAATGTGTCAACAATATGGTTCACATTCACTTCAAAGAACGGTCAAATAACAAAAGAAAAAGAAGTCTGGTTTACAATAAATACAGAAGAAAATATATCTAACAGAATTACCAACTGCAGCCATCAAGCCATGGATAAGCTTCGTCTCAAGGGATGCACGGCCGCGATAATATGCTGCCAGAACCATCTGCTCAGCCGTAAAACAGCCATCCATGTAGCTACAGCCCAACTCCCCCACTGAGTGTCCCACAATTCCATCTGCCTCAATTCCAACTGCCTTCAGTATATCCACCAAACCCACCTACAACAACGTTCTTGTCAGACAATGCAATGTGTTTCATTACACAAATGAAAGGGCAGTTAGTATTATTACATCTGTACACAAAGTTTTTTTTTATAATATCCAGTCCTCAAATAAAAAAGGGTCTGCAATATATATATATATATATATATATATATANGGCATATGTTTATATGAAATTTTTTGATCACAAAGACCTAGGAAATCACCTCCTGCAGTTATGACCTAAAGTCGTGAAACACCCTGTATATACACAACAGAAGATACAAGGACTTACAAAGACTTCTAAAAAAATGGAAAGATTATGTTTGGTAATACATGCAACATGCCAAGTTTACCCAGTAATGAGAAAATAATAATAAAACGTACATGTAACAGGTGTAGTATTCGTACAGCTGCATTTTTCAGAGATGAAAAACACTGTCTAGTGTAACATTTAAACAAAGGGAGCTTTTATTATGAAGAATTTATTAGACCAGTGGATCACAAATTATGGTTTGTTAACCCCACAGAGAATACATGCTTCAGGATATTAACCGAAGAAAACTGTGTAATGGAAGGTTTTTATTCGATAATATTTAAGGCAAATTCACAAAAGATAATAAATTGGTGGTGATCTTTATTTGATTACTTCAGAGAAATATATTATTTTGCGGGGTGTACCAGGATCGTTACACAAGATTACTTCCTTTTCAGAAGGAAACCCCCACGTAAAGTTTAGCCTGATCATGTCATATGGATGTCTGAAAGGAGAAAGACGTGTATATAAGGAGTATTTCTCGCAGCGTAGGTTCATGCATTATGAATTTTCAGTAGTAGCCTGCTAAAATTTTGGAACCACCATATTAGGCTTGTAAGTCAATTCCCTCATTCCAATTAAATTAAAAATGTTGTATTCATTCTGAAGTTTCTCACCTGACAGGCTGCTATGCCCACAAAGCAATTAAGAATGTTATCAAAGATACTGGGGTCTTCAGTTGTGATGATGTTGAATAGATCCACGCCATGAGGTTTCAACGCTTTCTGGCATTTTTCAATGGCTGCTGCAAAAATTGGGATGTTGAGAAGAGCTCTTCCCATGCCTGGCCACTGGGACCCCATTCCAGTGAAGACAAACCAGACTGGCCGCTTGCTTCCTGGGTAATACTAAAAATAGTGCAAGATAATATCCATAAATTAAATCAAAAGTTTTATATGCTAGTTTCTTACATAGGAAGTAACAGCTTGTTAATTTATCACTATTTTGAATATTTCAATTCCTCTTTCATTCAGTGGACAAAAATTATCCCCCAGAGATTAACTAGAACATGGCTTGTTTAGAAACCAGATATTTTTATCACCAACTTATACAATGGAAGCATGTGCAGTGCATGAAGTCTGAAGTGTTAAAGGAAGACAAGTGAATAAAACTGAAGTGCCCCATCTTCATATGGATCCATATGTCCCAGGTTTATACCAATGGTCACTGGAAGTGGAAAATCAGGTACTGAAAAAATATTTTGGAAATCTGGCCGTTTCAAGTATTCTACTTGATTCAATTTCACATTCAGAAAATCATATTCCAGTAGAGTGTCAGACTGCACCCAAGAATTTAAGATTCCAGTACAGTACACTGAAATTGGATTGGTTGGTGCAACATATTTGAACATTTATCATTTTTTGGAACAGTCAGTATTTGATTGTCAGCAGTCACTTAAGATCACGAAGCTGGCTTAGTTAGTTAGTTAGTTAGTTATTGGAGAGGGTGGGTTTCCCCATGCACTGAGACCTGTATTGGTCCATTGTGCTTCCCTCTATGATTTCTACCAGTCTCCATATCCTACCGGTACTGGTGCTTACCATCAGTCCCGCCCAGCCAGCGAGACCGGCTCTACTAGCTGAGAGGTATCTATAATGCTTCACCCATCTACCAGAGGTATTAGAGACTGCTGTTGGGCGGGAAACGTCCGTAATTTGGCTCAGTGACCTCCTTTGCAGATATGAGGTTCTCTTATGTGGTGTAAAGCTACGACACAGGACCCACGGCTTAAAGTCCCTCCCAGAGGACTTGTTCCCTGAATTTTTCCGCCCTTAAAAATTCGACGACCTCCGCCGGGTATTTGAACCCGCGTACTATGAGTCATGAGGTGGGAACGTTACCTCTAGACTACGGAGGCCGCTATGAAGCTGGCTTACTTAGGTCGCCACTTTTTCTCTGTACACTACTGTACTGTTTTCTTCCTCACTGACTTGCATCTTGTACTGCTATTATTGAATTATCTTCTTGGCTCGCCATACACACTGTTTCACATCTGTTTCTTCACACACAACAGCTGTACACAGCAAGACTTAATTCAACAGCTCTCTCAAGAACATTCATACAGGTGAAGTCATTCTGGAAACTTCTGGCTGACAGTGTGGGCTTGGTGTTTTGAGAACAATCAACAAGCCAAGGTGGGAATTGCAGTTGAGAAATATTCAGAGAGAGGCATATGCATATGTTTCCTCCCCAAGTTCAGCCCATGTGACCATTAATACTCCAAGCAACTAACTAAATAACTCACTCACTCACTCACTCACATCATGGAGCTGAATGTCTCTTCAGATCTTAACAGTTGCTCAGCTGCTCAAGAAAGTACCAATGTTTTACAGGATCTGGAGGTTCATCATTTTGTTCCCAAGGGCCTGCCTCAACTAATACAGATCAGAAGTTGAACTTCATGCAATATCAGTTAATTCAATTAACTGCCCTGTTCACAAACAGTATACTAAAATTCCTACAAGAGAGTACATACATGTGCACTGATCCACTTACCTGAATACTTCTTAGCTTTCTGCCATCCTGTGTGAGAAGTGTGTAACCACGGTAGATATGGCCAGGAATTTCTGATGACTGGAGATTATGCATCAAAGACACATACTCTGCGTCTACCGATCGACTCTCAAACTAGATACAGAGCCGAGAAAACATAACATGTTTTACCTTCCTTACTGCTACTTCAGAGGATCTGGTATTCATTAAGTTGGAATAAGTCTGGACTATAAGGTGACACCATGAGCCATACTTACATCCTTGAGGATGACATTGACTGCCTCTTGTGTACGACCAGATGCAACAACAAGCCGTGGAATCGTGTCAGAAGGGGCACCACCATTTATTTTCGTCTTTTGATTCCATTGTAGCAAAATGTGGGCGTTGGCTCCTCCAAACCCAAAAGAATTGATACCCACAAGACTGCTATTCAAAGGACATTTCTCTGTTACCACCTGCAATATGCAATAAGAACTCTCCATCATATAGTGATCTTATATCATATCAAAGTCAATTTGAAAGTCTACATAATGTAATCAAAATTTCTGTCAAATGTCAACACAAACATTATGTCAACCAAAAAAGTTAAACAGCCATGTGGATCTCATGCTATACTGCAGATACTTGTATTTGGCTTGTAAGAGAAATATTTTGAAATGTACCTTCAATCGTCCTTCTGTAAGTGCTTCCACTCCCTCTCGGGGGTTGTTGTAGTGTAGGTTGGGAGGAATGATACCAGTCTCCATGGCGATGAGAACCTTAGCAACGGAACACAGCCCAGATGCTGGTTCAGAATGCCCAAGATTTGATTTGACTGACCCTATGAGTAGTGGTGTCTTTCTTCCTTTACAGAAGACTTGGTCCAAAGCATTCAGTTCTTCAGGATCCCCAACCTACATATAGTTGCAGAAGGTATCCTCTTCAATTAAACAATTCTAAGGTTACTTTTTAACAATTTCAATACATTTCACAAAATTATAAAAAAAGCTATCCCTGTAACAGGCTGTGAAGGCCCATAGGGTTGTGAGACGTTGAGGGTCCCACATTATCTAGACAATTGGCTCAAAGATGGCGGTAAGGTTATCAGCCTTACGCATCAGCTGCGCTTTACTCCCCAGGAAAATTATTTAATTCCTGGTACTCATTTCTGTTAGAGGATGAGTCGACCCCAGGGCCACAGTGTGGCTGGAAGGATTAGGTCAACTGAAAAAATCCAATGACTTCATTGGGATTTGAACCCGGACTTTCCGGCTTGTAACATAGCCCCTCAAACCAGCTACACTACTGAGTGCCCCTTTATATACCATTCTAATTTACTATATTAACCCTCTCATTATCAACCGAAGTACGTATTCAGGTGATGCATGTTCTTCACACTGTGTATACTCAGACACTGCATGTGCAACATTTATTTGAATCTAGGGGAAAGTTGTACAAATACTCCAGCTATTACCATTATAATCAGGAATACTTGTTCCGTTACCTTAGACTTCTTCCCATTTGTCGTTTTGTTAATAACTGCCATTAATACAATAATACTGAAAAGTGGTCAGGTTATTTCTGACATGATACACTAAAGACAGCTTTTTTCTCAGATCATAATATCAAAAGGGCTAATTATCATAAATAATAAAGACAAAATGGATGGATAGACTACATGATAAATATGTCTGAATAACTACTTACAGGCCTACAATTTCACAGCATCCATGTTTAATAGCCAAGAACACTGAAAACTGAGACCTGCATAAACCGTACCTTGGTACCAGTGCCATGTGCCTCAATATATCCCAGTACTGTGGGACTGATGGCACACTCATTATAGAATTCTTCTAATAGTGCCTTCTGCATTTGTCCTGATGGGTATGTGATGCCCTGTTCTTTGTATCCATCACAGTTGCTCTTGGCATGAACCACTGTTGCATACACACGCTTTGCATCACAAGCCTTCTGCAGAAAAATGACACAGACGCCCTCGCTCCTCGTGTAACCATTGGCTGAATAAACAATACTATCATAAGTCAATATTCTCGGTTTCTTGGAAATGAAAGTGTGAACAGCTAAGTAAACACTAAGTAGGAAATTAATTATGCAACAGACTTGCTCCATCATATATTCTTTTTGAGAAGATAATAGTTATTTAGCAATAAAGAAATCGCCTGTTCTTACAGGACCCAAACACTTTATGTTCACAAATGCCTGCCACTGAACCCATCCAGATCAAATATCTCATAAGAAGTTTGCTTTAATGGACAGGGTTTGCTGGATTTATATCTAATCACAAGCTGGAGCACCACATGATATCGGATGTCTGAAACTGCTTCTTCAACACACTTGTAGCTTTCCCTACAACTACTGTTGCACAAAACATCAAACTGACAAAAAAAAAGTGTCCTTTAAAACAACGAAGTTTGAAGAGGATCTCTTACATGAAAGAAAAAGCTTGGATGCATTCCTTGTTTTACAAGGTTCTATCAGAAAGCTCATGGACTGGGTCAAAAAAAAAAAAAAAGAAATCCTGGCTTAACTTACTCAATTTTGGCCTTCAAAATAGTCTCCTTTGGAATGCACACAGTGACCCAATCATTTTTTTTAATGCTTCAAAAGCACTGTGGAAGTCATTTTCATTAATGCTGTTGAGTACTGCTTGCGACACTGTTTCAAAACGTCGTTCCTTCAGTTTCATTTTCAATTTGGGAAGCAAAGCTTAATCACAGGGGGCTAAGACTGATGAGCAGGGAGGATGAGGAATGATAACCATGTTGTTCTTAGTCACAACCTCTGTGGTTTTGAGGGACGTGTGTGTGTGGGTGCTTGTTCATGATGAAGGAGCAATGTGTTGCTTGTTCAAAATTTTTCTCTTAAGATCTCCTGTCAAATTCCATAACTGATCCCAACGGTGTCTGTGAGCTCAAAGATAATTCGGTGATGGTCTTCGTGGATGAGTTTTCGAATTTTTTAAATATTTTCTGTCATTTTTCTGGTGTTTGATCGCAACGGAGTTCATGACTGTACAGTGTGACATCTGTACCACTGATCAGTTCTGCAAGTTCAGCCTTTCCAGTGAAAATATCTGTTTGTAACTGACATTCTGACTGGACACTGTCCATCTTTTCATCCTCAGGTCACAACAATTCAGGAACTGTTTTACAGGATATAGTAAAAAATCCTACTGCACTGGGCCCCCAGCAGAGCTAATGTCGAAACCAGGTTTCATCTGGTGAAATTTAGGGTAGCACTGCCAATGGGAACAACAGAGTGGTATTGGAATTACTGGGTTCACCAACTGTATCCTTCATCCGGTATTCTAAAAACTAGAGAATTCAGCGTTTCAGAAACTTTATTTGTTTCTGTCCTCAGGTGAAGGGGAGACCCTGCTCTTTTGGGTCGCTTAGAAAGAGCTAACCTCCATCACTGGACCAGTTGTGAGGACGGAAACAGATCCACTTTGTGAAATGTTGGGTTCATTCCATTTTCAGAGTCCTTTAGAATTTAAAATAAGGAACACTTATGTTAACTTGAAGAAGGAAATAGAACAAGCTTATGACTCACTGCAGTTCGAAAAAACTGAACCAGTGGACAATGTCTAAACTGTAAGACAATAAGACAATTTAGAACAGATTATAATTACACGAATTGTACTTACCATCCCTGTCAAATGACTTGCACATGCCTTGTGGGCTCAGCACACCGAGACGTGAGAACTGGAGAGAGACATATGGATGCAGACAGAGATTACAGCCGCCTACAATGGCAGCCTGACAGTGCCCATCACGGATGGATTTATAAGCATGCTCCAGAGCATACAAACTGGAGGAACAGGCCGAATCAACTGTATAGCTGGGCCCTAGAACATGATATGGTTCCTAAAATTCTACAGAGTATTATTGTCTTGTGTATCAGTAATTATAGATTGGATCTGGATTGATAATTTGATTTATGCTACAATATTAAGGGGCCTCCGTAGACTAGGGGTAACGTTCCCACCTCATGACTCAAGGTACATGGGTTCAAACCCGGCAGAGGTCGTGGAATTTTTGAGGGCGGAAAAATTCAGGGAACAAGTCCTCCAGGAGGGACTTTAACCCATGGGTCCCGTGTCATAGCTTTATGGCATGTAAAAGAACCTCATGTCCCAAGGGGACCACTGAGCCAAATTGATCGGACATTTCCTGCCCAACAGTAGTCTCTAACGCCTCTGATAGATGAGGGAAGCATTGAGGGATACCGCTGAGCCAGTAGAGGCCGAACTCGCTGGCTGAGTCGGGACTGATGGCACACACCAGTATCGGTAGGGTATAGAGACTGGTAGAATATCACAGAGGGGACATACAATAGACCACTGGTCGCGGTGCATGGGGAAACCCACCCCTCCAATAATAATAATAATAATAATAATAATATGCTACAATATTTACAAATACACAGTAGACAAGAAGTAGCAGCATAAAGTCTGAGAGGAATTCTGAATGCATCCATTGGTAAGAAGCAGTGCAGAGTAGTGACGGATTAGCATCTACAGGAATCAATACTTCATGCACATATTCTTGATGTACAAGTAAACATGAGTACAGAAAGTTTGTAGTATAAGTTTTCTGATTTTCACAGAGGTGACTCCTAAGACTGTGGTCTTCTGTTTTGTGATACTTCAAGGTTTTGTGGGTGGATACTGATGTTCCTTCAAAATGCTGATTTCTGTCCCCAAAATTACAGTGTCACAGCCCAGAAAACCAAAGTCTTAAGTCTCCATTAATAATGTACAGTTAACATTACTAATGTTGTTACCTCTTCTCAAGTTCATAAGGCCATCATGTTGGTATTATTGACGACATAAATTTGGAAACTACCAAGATAGGTTAACCTCTCACTCACTCATGGAACTGAGCCCTTCTTGAGAAGCTGCTAAGTGTGCAGCTACTAAAAAACTTCCCATCATTTGATGGATTTCGAAGGTTCATTACTATGTTCACAAGAGCACTCCACTGGTCCCTATCCTTAGCAGATCGATCCAATCTATACCACCTCATCCTATTTCTCTAAGATCCATTTTAATATTGTCCACCCACCTACATCTTCATCTTCCTAGAGGTCTCTTTCCTTCTGGCTTTCCAACCAATATCTTATAGGCATTTCTCTTCTCCCCATTCGTGCTACATGCCCTGCCCATCTCATCCTCCTTGACTTGATCATTCTAATTATACTTGGAGAAGAGTACAAGTTATGTGGCTAACATCTAGTGGTTCTATATTCTTACCAAGTGTCATGAAAATTGCTCAGTTATTCTCTGTCATAATGATGCACATGACCGAGTTGTTAATGGAGTTCCAAAAATAGACTTCTTCTTTAAAAGATACAAAAGAAAATGGTAACTGTGAATGTAGTGTGACTTACCATTGATGCCAAGCCAGTATGAGATGCGGTTTGCAAGCATGGCTCGACTGCAACCTGTGATACCAAATCCATTCACTTGTAGCTTCTCATAGAACCAAGTCTTCTCTGACTCGCTGAAACATGCACCGATGAAAACCCCAATTCTCTGTCCCTTTAAGTGACGAGGGTTGATACCTGCACAGAAAAGTATACCAACACAAAAGTGTTGCAAATTATAGAGCAAGTATTATCTACATCTGCAGCCCTCTTTGCAACATAGTATTTGACTCAAGGCTAATTTTGCTCCTGGAGAAGGCACTGGGATGAATAGGTGAAATTTAATTGCGTTCTTGAAATGTGGTGAAATATTTTCTTCCAGACATATATACATTTATGCATGAAGCAGGATCTTTATATGAAATTAAAACAATCTGCCTTAAACTTTAACCACACTTTACTCTATGTAACATGTTATGATTAATGCAATAAGAATGATTCAGTGACTGGTTTCTGTGATTCTATGTTCCATAACAGAGAATTTCATTATCAACTGAATAACTGTCAATTATTCAATACAGCCCAATTTGCTATGAACTGGATTAATACGGAAGCAAAGGTAAGTGGCATATGTGCTTAAAATGGTGCCATGAAAGTATGTAAGGGGTATGGAAGTGGTCACACGTTCTAAATCTTGACACTTGATCGAGATGAATGTTAGTTTCAATCACCAGTTGTTTTACTTCAGGATGAAAAGCCTGTAGTACCTGTTGCAGAGAAAACTGTGAGGGGGGCCTCCAAAACACATCTGGATGTAGTAGCAAAAAGGAATGAAAATATTAGAATTTTAGTATAACAATGCTGAGTAGGTACTTAAGGAACAGATATGTATATGAAATTCTTCTCCACATTTTTCATATGGAATGATAAAATATGTTCACTTTAGTGTGCTAAGTAAACACACACAGGTAACACTTTTGTAAACTGAGATGAAACACCAAAAATGTCTAAGACTTCATGTCCGTATCATCACATCTGCAAATAAAACACCACACTAATTAAAGTACTTTAATCAGATACATTTCAGAGTTACCCTCCAAATGTTTCACTTTTTAATATTCTGTGATCATTTGCCAGCACGACAGGAAAGTAAAGTTACTGACCTGCATCAACAACAGCCTCAAAGGTTCTCTCCAGCAGCATACGACACATTGGATCCATGGTATGCGCCTGCTTGAAGTGGACACCGAAGAATGATGCATCAAACTTGCTCACATTCAACAGCTTACCTGTCCTCTGCGGTATTTCTGGGTGATCTGTGCACAAAGTATTGAAACTATAAGCACCAAAGCAGCCACGTAAACTTTCAGCCGCACTATCGCCCTGAGGTCGACTCAGCCTCTAACAGAAATGAATACAGGGAATCTTCTGAGGGTAAAGGGCAACCAGTGCCTAAGTCTGGTTGCCACACTGCCATCTGTGAGGAAACTTTCTAGAAAATGTGGAAGCCTCTGCATCTCACAACCCTACTGGTCTCCACGGCCTGTGACAGGGATACTTTTATCTTTTTTGCCGGTTTTAATCATGCAGAGAAGTTAATGTGAATTTTCAAGAAGACAGGATATATAATTTTTTTTTGCACATCTATTATCTCCCACTAAACAAACATGGTCTCTAATCCCAGATTCAATCTTCTGCCTACAATCACAAGCTTCAGAAGTATTCTACTAGAGTGGCTGTGAACTCAGGAATATAAAACCATACTAAGTTGTGTGACATTTTACACATCATCTCAAATTAACACAGTGAACACATGTACAAACCCAGCTTCCAACGCCGATCATCATCTGTTACCATGTCCACTTTGTTCATGAGATTGTCCCGTAGGTCATACATATTCTCTGACTCAGGAAAGTACCCGGCCACACCTGAGATGACAATCTCTTCCCCAGGGGGAGGGTGCGCTAGTTGTATCCCTGCCTGAACAGAATCTGGAACAGCTTGCACTTCTGTCTTCTCCTGTGGTGCCATGTCTCACTAAAAATAGAACAGGTTGCATTACAGAGACATTTGAAAGTGTCCATAAAGTAGTTCCTGCACTCAATATGAGTGCATATACTGGGTATGAAGGTAAGTTCTTAGAATTCCTAACCTCTGTGCTAAACTAGACACTGAGTAGGTGGTGTAACAGTAAAGTTTTAGGCTTGTATTCATGAGGTGCTGAGTTCAAATCTCAACTAGGACACTGGCCACCCTAACAGAATTTTCATGGCTTCTCTCAGCCACTAATTTAAATAACAGGATAGTACTTGATTAGTCATCATCTTCCTTCTTAACCCTTTTCAATTAATCAATCATCCTACCATTTGACACTACACAGTCTGTATGCTGAGTGTGCTGTAAAATAAAGCACTGAGAAAACTACACTAGATGGAGGCAAATTGTGAGCACCATGCTCCAGTTATCTTTCTTCCAGGCAAAAGCCCACAGTATCCAATTGAGTCTGAGGGTGCCATAGAGCCATTCCAATCATGTATATGGAGAGAGAAAGCAATAACTTGATGAACACTAACTTAACCTCATCTAATGTCACATAACCTAAAGATAACAACATCAGGGTGTGTGAAGTTACAACCCATTTCATTAAAACCTTACATGCCATAACCTCCTGAGATGATACAAATATGTAGATTGAAAACTGACCTGCAGGATGTTTCTAAATTACACAACACAGTAACTTGGCTTTTCTTAAGAAATATTATCATCTTTTTTTGGATTAGGCAAGAAGCCAGTTAGTTCAAGTGCTAACACACTGAACTTATATTTGTAAGGTGTCTAGATCAAGTCTCCTCTGGAACGTCAACTGTCCAGAGATTTGTCGTGATTTTCTTCGGCCGCTCCATGCAAATTCCCTTGCAGCAATTCAAATTCGGCCATGACGGCCATAACATTGACCCACCACATCCTTTCAAAGGGGTCATACAGTCTAAAGTACTGACAGGATCCATAAATAAACTGTGGGATTGTCGTCAATACTCCAATAGACAAACCACACGAAACTGTACAATTGTATATACTGGATCGTTTAAAGTCAATATACAGAACACGGAATACACGTATAATATTCAAGCGTGTGCCGGCCTGTCGGGGCAGTGATGCCGTGCTGAGCGGTAGGATCGACTGGCTCGGTCGGTTGCTGGGTTGCGGAAGATACGTTCGCCGAAATGTCAGCTGCCCGGTAGCAGAAGTGGAGTAGATGCCTCTAACTGCGTTGCCGTTTCGAGTTGAACTGATTGCACAAGGTCAAGGTCAAGGTCATGTTACAACTGTAGGTCCGTCAGTCTGTCTGTCTTGGTGTCGAGCCCCAGACCAGATATTTCTTTTGAATGAAAGTTACTGTCTTGTCTATGTGTAGCGCCCTCTCTGACGAGAGGTCGGGTCTGTCATTTGTTAGTCTGTATTAAGTCCATTGTCTGTATTTACATTCATTTACAAATACACACTTATTCCTTACTTCTATGTACAATATATACACGGCCTCTGTCAGTCCAGACTAGGTACAGCAGATTATGCCCTTA